AAGTAAGCTTTGTCTTCAAGATGTATTCCATATTTGGTCCAGGTCCAGGACCTTACCCTGCCTTAGAACAATAGCCCTGCATCAGTTTATATGTGCGAAGGATTTAACAGAACGCAAACAACTGTGGTGCACTACCTGAAAAGTACTTTGCCGCCGAAGACATTTGTATTGGTTGTCAATTTATATAATATTGTGATTTGCTCCCCAACTATCGCAGCCATTCAGCAGCTAACTGACGGCTATTTGGCTGACACATATACCTCCGTCTCGTGTGGCTGATACCTCGCAGTACCACAGTGTGCCTGCACATTAAGGTTATAGGATGTCAGCCTCTGACATCTAGAAATAGGCCGTAAAACGTGTGTGTTGGGGAGGTGGGGGGTAGGGGGTGGGGAATGGTACAAAACTGGGTTAAGACTACCAGTATCCGCCATGATGCCGAGTACCCACTAGTTCTGGACATGATAGCAGCCTGTTAATAACACGAAATGATCTTTGTTGAGCAAGATGAACGCAGAAGTGCAATTTTGAGCCGATGTGACCACGAACGCTTTGAATATATTTGTTTATGTTTAGTTGTGCCTATGTCATCTGATGATGTTAACAGGACCAATTAAAAATTAGGATTCAACAAGCGCACTATTCTTAACAGCTTTTTGATGATGGGAAACGATTATTTCGGATAACTGATATTTTCCAGAAAGAAGGCCAATGTCAGATATGCTGTCCTATTCTATGAAACACATCACTGAGAAACCTTCCCATTGTGTTGGAGAAAACCTGTCTAATGTGCTGGAGAAAACCTGTCTAATGTGCTGGGGAAACCCTGTTTAATGTGTGTATGTTTTGCGTTATGTGCTTGCTTCGCCCCAGACATGAAGATGCTGACATGGTCACACGTGTTATGAAATACGCACCGCATACAATTTGGTTCACAAACTGTCTTGTTTCGGCATACAGAAAACCTTCAGTTTTATCGGTGAGCCAACGCGTCTTTATTGTTTGAATTTTTTTGAAAGATAGCATCGCCGGAGAACTCTTACCTTGCCGGACACAAGCAGAAAGGAAACATTCTCAACTAGCCAATATGCAGCGCTCTCACTTAGCCCTCTCATTATGCTGTTATTTCTAGATCTGAAACCAACGTTTGGCAATTAATCAACGCGGAGCAATATGTTTCCAAAATAACTTAGGAGTTTTTAGCTCAGAAAATGGGCCATCAGTCAACGAGCCACTTACACAAAGTACAAAACCTTCCAGCATGAGACGGGTCACGAAGTTGTGGCACGGATCGCTTAGTTGTGCCGCGCAGTTCACGAAAGACCGTTGGATAAATTGGGCCCATCATGGAGCGCCAGTGAAGCCTCAAACTTTGTCAGCCAATAAGCACTAACTATCCGCGACGTTCAATGCGTAGCATAAAGTAAAATTGCATGAGCCCATTTCGGCCCGGTGTTTGTTCTTCGTTCATGTCGCAACCACCGAAAACGTTGCACTTGAACAGCAGACACTAAGTACGCTGGAGACACACTGGGGCTCTGTCAGCGTATCTCTGGGGTGCTCTCTGGAATCGGGCTGTCCACAGATTCGTAAGAGGTGCCAGAGATCGCGTGAAGCAAACCGGTGCTACAGTAAATGCCAGGATGGGGTGGATCGCTCGCATTTACTAAAAATGTTCCCACTTGAAGTTCCAAAGACTGGCCCATAAACTGACGAATTGGTCAAGTCTCATTGACGTACGCGAGCATTATAAGGCCATTATGAGAGCAAACAAGTGTGTGTGGAATAGTGGCTCCCGCCATTCTGGAAAGAATTCCAGAATCCAGCGCCTATGTGGAGCCCTCTTGTAGCGTATAGGTGTTAGCGGACCGTCGCATACGTGAGTCAATCATCCAAACGATGAAAAATACTGTAATCAAACGATGAGGAAAGTTGTCATATTAGCCATCATGTCAGGCAATAGTGCAATATTAAGTTCCTCAGCGTTAGTATAAATAGACGACAAAGCAGCCAACTAGGCGTTCGTGATTGGCGCTCGTGTCGCCACCGTGAAAAGAGGCGGAGCCAGAACGAGCCTGCAGAGCTTAAGGAGCTCGTCCAACGTTTGGTGCCTATCAGACACAACAATGCTGGCATATGACCATGCAACGACGATATTGTGCTGTAACTGTCAGCTTCGGCATGCCCGGGCTGTCTGGCCCCTGGACATGGACTCCGGTTCGACACGCGCCCTGCTCAGAGGGATGCCTCATGCTGATAGGTGGCGCCCTCGGTTCTGGCGGAGCTAACGTAAAACAGACGCCTCAGGAACGCCCGCAGTCCGCACACACGGACAAAGTTTAGCGAATAATACGGGCGTCGACTTAAGCTCTGTTTTTCCTCCCCCACATCTGTCGAGCCTTTGTATCGCAATTGTGAGCAGCGTTGATGGCGACAGACTTACAAAAAACTTGTTTCTCATGGGATTCAGTTCCAGAAAAATACATAGCACATGCTGACTAGCCAAATGAACGCAGCATCTCCCTGATTGATGATGATCAATCCCGGCATTCTTTACTTATAACTCCGAGCTGTTTGCAATTCGTGAGTTCGAGCTAACCACATAAAACCGCTGTTTAACTTACGGGCGCCTCCCGTAGCTGCGGGCTACCACTGGACAGTGCTTTTATGACGCAATAACATCGACTGTAAACCAAACACAGCGCGCTTACACGATGGGCGAATAACAGGTGGTGGGTCAGACCAGAGCACGTGCTTACTGCTCTGAATGCGCACCACAATCAAGGTACCAGCCGCGATTGACGCCGCACGGCGGCCGGACGCTGCCTGGAGGTCCGGGGCCTGGACTCGCCTTGGTTATCAATTCACGAGCATTTGGTTAGGAGGCTTATTGAGCTTATTTTGGAATGAATGAAGCTTGGAAGGCACGTTCTTTTGCTTCATTTGTTCGTGCTCTATGGCTGGCCCCATTGCTTATCCATATTTCATTCCTAGTTGTTGTTTTTTTTTTTTTGGGGGGGGAGGGCAGTTCCATTGGCTGCATATGCTTGTTTTTGATGGTTGACAGGTTTCCTTATTTGTCTCAGCGTGCACTCCTATATCGTCCGCGTGGAAATCTCAGACTGTCTGCCTGAGCTCCTCAAAGTTAGCTTTGATTTCTTTCTCTCCATCGCCTTGCGTGGCATAGATTGTTCAGCGCGTGCCCGTGACACTAGGAACACGCCTGGGAGCCATCTGCATGGCAGTGCGGCACCACCAGCTTACGTGGGTGGAATACATAACAACTAATGTGCCATGTCTCAAGGGCATATTACTGTTACGTGACCAGTCGTGTCTTTTATCCACGTCTGCCGTCTACGTGGTAGATCTCGTGGAAGGCAATTACAATAATTTGCCAGCAACTGTCCGGGGAAAGATGCTAAACTCGCAAGCCAATAGCACTGGGCACGAATACCAGGAGCCTTGTTTGACCCGACTGAAATGGAAAGGTCAGTTGGCAACTGGCCAACGAGGGTCAACTCAGAACTGGGGCGGTCCTGTCGCAGCATTGTGTGGCACGTAAAACTCTCCATATTCCTGTACGGCACAAGTGCAGAGGCAAAATTCTTCGTTGCACAGAATAACACCAACGTCGGTGGTGAGTTGAGGATACGCATAACAAGCTGTACTAAACAGGTTCCCTGAACCTCATACCGTCCATGCAAACTATTCTTAAGAAATTTATTTAACAAAGTAAATATGTTGGTGGTGCTGGATTGTTGAGGGAATATCCCCCTGCACACTCTATAGGTCATGGGCGCAGGCTGAAAAAAGTGTGTAAACATAGATCCTATATATTCTTATTTGTATATGACCAGCAGCAGGGCTAGGACGCACGCAATGCTTATCACCAGTCGTTGGCACGCGTTACGTAAACCCCAATATTTTTTTTCAGAAATATGACACGAGTACAGGAGACCCTAATCACTTTCAGCGTACGAAATCGTACTGAGCCTCGTACACCTTCAACTCGAAGCTGGGCATAATTTTCTGCCATGGTGTGCCAATGCATGGACTCGCCGTCATGTGCTATGTGATATTCATGACGAGCAGAATAGCGCAAGTTTGGCTACAGTCGTAATTTTGCCAGCGACCGGTGCCGAAGCTGGGGAATGCATTTTTATATGGTATGCCGTACATTCTAGCCACAGACATTGATGTCGCTGCACCAGCCCTATGGATGGTACACACGCTGCGGGCACCCTCATTTCATGTGACGCCGTTCCAATCAGTAGTGCTGGGCATTCATGCCCCTCATTCCGCGACACAATACCGTGGCCAGTCCCACCAATCCCACTCAACAACTGCGGTATCACGTAATCCCATTGTGCTGCCTGCACTGTCGAGGTGGGAAGAGGCAGGTGTTGCCAGCGAACACGAATACAAGCGGCGTCCCTCCAAAACGAACCTTATTGACGCGGCATTGTGCATCTGGGTGCGCCACTTGCAGCTGTGAGGCTTTGTTGAACATCCGTTCTTATGAGTTTTTCAGTACTTCCATGTGCTTATCACCCTGCGCGGGAAATTTGACTGATAAAGGAGCTGCTTCTACAGTCGTCGCTTAGTAAAATGTTCTCTTCGCTTTGTACACAACATTTGTGGTTTTATTTAAGAGAGGTAAGTGGTTTGCATCGTCTACTTCAAGTGGGTGGCTCACTGTGTTCGAGTGAATAAGTGCTCAAAATTATGAAGTGAAGGCAACAGTGATAATGGAAGCGAAAACCAGTTCCGAAACGTAGCATAGCATCGCTGCATTCATCATTGATCTTGGGCTTAGCCTCGCTACACCTAGCTACACTTACACAGCACCGGAATTTTAATCACGACTGGTCCCTCGTCCCCGCCGCCATCGCAGTAAGCAGCACATCGTTTACAACTGTCTGGGCGGCGTACAAGCCCGCCGCGACCCCGACCTTCGCCCGCAGCCGCGCCCCGGCCACTGCCCGATCCTCCCGCCGTACCTGCAGCGCGGCTCCTCTCGTCCTTCCGTCGTCCTCCCGTGAGGACTACCGCGCACGCTGGCGCCACCGCGCGCTCACTGCAGGGCGGCGAGCTCGCTGCCGTCCGGACCGGCCCGCAGCGGCACCGCCGGCGCCGCCTCCGTACGCCTTCTGACCCCGCGGCCCGGCGGCGGCCGCCCGCCGCGCCGACCGACGAGGCCGCCGCGTCGATACGCGTAGCGGTGGGCCGGTGGCGGGAAGGCACCGCCGCCTCGGGGCTCTGGCTGTGGTAAGGTGCGGCTGGAGGGAGTCTCCTGAAGTTCGCACGTTGGAGCAGGTCTCCTGACAGGAACACGTCTGAAGCGAGCACCAGAGGACCGCCGTCGCACGCTTGAAACCTTTTTGGACATGCAGAGAAAGATCATCATTCTGGTCCCAAGATAACGTGCTGCAAAATACATGGAGCCGCTGCAAATATGCGTTAGGAAAGCCACTGAAATTATTCACTAAAACATGAATTGCAAGCTACGGATCCTGAATATTGAGCACGAAACGTGGACAGCGCCCCTCCCATGAGACATCATCCTTCGTCCGCGGTGTGACCATGTAGTCGTCAGAAGGTCATCTGTGTGCTGGAGCTTGTAGCGTGAAGACGTAATGCGATTTCACGGTGCGCGGCTCTAACGCCTGCCGCGTGTCGTCCCCCGCTCCCGGGCGCCCAGGCCGCCGTCTGCGCCACGACGCTGTGAGCCGACCCCTGCCGCCGCGGCCCGCTGCCCGCTGCCCCGCTGCCCGCTGCCCGCTGCCCGAGCTCGGCCCAGACCGCCGTCTGCGCCGCGACGCTGCGAGCCGACTCCTGCCGCCGCGGCCCGCTGCCCGCTGCCCGGGCTCGGCCGACGCCGCCGTCTGCGCCGCGACGCTGCGAGCCGACCCCTGCCGCCACTGCCCGCTGCCCACTGCCCGGACTCGGCCGACACCGCCGTCTGCGCCGCGACGCTGCGAGCCGACCCCTGCCGCCACTGCCCGCTGCCCACTGCCCGGGCTCGGCCGACGCCGCCGTCTGCGCCGCGACCCTGAGATCCCGACACGTGACTGTTGTCGGGCCCGCTGTTCTGTCGGGCGATGAGGCTCTTTGGGTTTGTGGCTGCTGCAGAATCGCGGCTGGTGTGGCCCTCGGATGGATATTAGTTTCGAGACGTACTTGGGGGCGTGGAAAGAGCTGCGTACTCTGTCCACATTGGCACGAGACAAAAAGTGGGCAAATTCAGAAAAACCTTTAAATGCTACATACAATTATTAAAAATTGTGAGCGCCATGGGTAAACTCTTCGTACGCTCTTCGAGTCACGTGATCAAGGTTCCGGTAACCTGGAATGGGGATAGGGCTTTCAAAGAAGGCTTCGCCGTTTAGAACCTGCATTGGCGTTTCTGCTTGCAGCACCCATTCAGTATCGTGATCGGCAATCATCTGGGCAGCGGAGGGATTCCAGAGCCCTCACCGGCTCTTGCAACGGGATTAAGCGACTACAGTCGCAGCAGCCGGCGCGTTTCTGCACTGGAGAGGTCCTTAAAGGAAAAGCTCGCTTCTGGGTGAGCGGTTTGTCGAGGCGGGCACACAAGCCTCGCAGTTGTGTTTACTTGAACGAACCGGTAGCGAACGCTCGCGACTGATCGAACCGCAACGATTTCACGTTATATAGCCAACGTCACCTGGTAGCAATCTGGTGCAGATGTACCACAGCATGCATGCATGATGTCAGTTAAGTTTAAATCCATGTCAGAGTTGATTCGGCGTTGGACATCCCGAGGTAAACTGTCCCGCTCATATCAGAAACATGCGAAACGATCGCCTTTTAGTGTCAGCAGCGTACAGGGCTGTTGCTTGCTTCCCATCGGTTCTGCTCGTCTCCATGCCAGATGTTGGGAGCGTCAGAGAGGCAGGCCGACACCCGCTATCGACCCGACCGCCAGAAGGTCAAGTCGGGCCATCTTCATTTGCCGCGCTTACGCGGGGGCTACCATTAGCACCCCACCTAACGACATCCTCCCCTCCCCTGCTGACCTGGCCTCTAAGGCTGCGCTGCCGCCATGAATCATAGGTCCGCCCGCCCTCCGGGCAGGGTTCGCCTCCGCCCACGCTCCGCCACCGCCGCCGCCGTGTCGAGCGACGACCGCGGCCGATCGAAGGGGACGGCGACAGAGCAGCGGCCGTCGAACCGACAAATCGTCGCTGGCGGACCGCGGTGCGTCGCCGTCGTGCCTCACGACAAGCGGCCGGGCGTGCCGCGCCCGCGTACCACGCGCGCTGGCTCCACAGACAGGCGGGCGACGCCGGCGCCCGTCCGGCCGGGGCGGCCGAGTCGGCCGCGCCCGGACCGTCGGGCAGCGAGGGACGTTCACGCGCGGCGCCCGTCCGGCCGGGGCGGCCGAGTCGGCCGCGCCCGGACCGTCGGGCAGCGAGGGACGTTCACGCGCGGCGCCCGTCCGGCCGGGGCGGCCGAGTCGGCCGCGCCCGGACCGTCGGGCAGCGAGGGACGTTCACGCGCGGTGCGAATGTCCGGGAAGCGTCACGTGCTCAGGCGAGGAGTAGATGATGCCCGGGAAGGCTTGCAAGGATGAGGTCAGAGGGTCGGGTGAGGAGGACGGACTAAGCCAAGCAGGATGGGTGGGATCTTTAGTAGATGTCTCCGGAACGTAATCCTGTGAGATGCCTTGATACCTGGCCTGTTTGAGGAAGTATGTGTGATTATGCGGGCTTTGTAAGTACGGTTTGAATATTGTTCCACCTTTCGTCTCCGCTATTGGTGATAATATCCACAATGGACTTGACACCTGGGAGATAACTGAATGCTGCCTTTGCAAGCAGTTCATGGCTATGGCTGCTATAGCCCGTCTCATATAGTTTTGAGCCAAGTTGTGCAGTGGCTGGAAATGCAAGCAAGTGGCTGGAAATGTTCCAGTGACCTAACAATAACAAATCCGTCGAACGAAAACAAAAGGTACGAAAAAAGAAAGAACGATAGGTGCGAACGCCACTGTGGAATGACATCTTCAGACAGGCCCGTTCCACTTTCCAGCAGTAGAAGGAAATTCAAAGATTTACGCTCGAAAAACAGCTTTAACAGAAAATAGCTTTATAAAGCTGCTTGCGGCCTACAGCCCTCATTCGGAAAATTCAGCTGAAAATCAGCACATGATAGAAATCTATCACATTTACGCCGACTCTTTTCTTCAAGCCTTAGCTGTCGTTGCAACCTGCGTGTTGTGAGCACGCTCAGCCGGCCCCGCGGCACAGCATGCCGTCCCTGCCGTGTCGCGGCGGGGCCTCGGCCGCGCTGTGGGCTGCGGCCTATCGCCGCGGGCGCTGACCGCCGTCCCGTGGCTGTCGCGGCGGGGCCTCGGCCGCGCTGTGGGCTGCGGCCTATCGCCGCGGGCGCTGACCGCCGTTCCCGTGGCGGACCGTACGGGACGCGTGATAGGTGCGTGTATGCAAGCTGAGTTATGAGTGGTTGTTCACCCGGACTAAACGTTATGTCGTGTCTGCCTGGGATAGCAGGGAGAGGACGCCACTGGACTCGGTCCAATACGGATCGCCGCGTCGTTACACGTCTCGCTCTGACCGAGCTGAGCTGAACCGCTGGACGAAGACATCATACTGCGGTTCGGAGCCGAAAACAAAACAAGAATTTCTGGTCCAAATTGTTTAAACCTTTATGTTTGGTATCTATATTGCTCGCAATTACATAGCACAGCATATCTACAGGGTGCACACAATTCACAAGACTAAGACTAGCATTGCCAACTGGTGCTGAGACATTGCCGTTTCTGTTTATCAAATGGTCCATTTATTTAGTTATCTTTCTGAAACAAACGACTCAACTAGCCACAACCTGGAGCCGGCTTAGCTTTTTGTAATTCTGAACACGAAGCACTCGCAAGAACCGCCGTGCGTGATTAAAACCATTTTTAAAGGTGCGCATATTTCGGAGGCCTCATTAACGGGAGACATGCTTCTAGACTTTCGGTCTTTTGTAGCTGGCTCTAAACCTCTTAAGTGCTCGAAATGCTCTACATACTTTGGTACTCCTGCCTTTAAGATGCGTCTTTTCAGAGCATTACGCATACTTCTCGTTTGCAGTATTTTCAGAAGAACACTTACTACTCAACCCGGGTCCAAACTCTATTGTCAGAGGCAGGCCCTCCCAACCGATGTCCCTGGCCTTTTGAATAGGCCTGCATTGTTACGTTTTTGTAGCCTAGGACGCGTTGTCCCCATAGGCTATAGGGATATACAATATTCCCGTAGACTGTAAAGAAAGCAATGGAAAACCTTGTATTCTCTGGCGTTGATCACCCCGCTTGCATAAAAAACATCCCCACGGACGAACGCCATGGTAAACACTGGAGTTGTTGTGGAGCGCGTTCCCAGATTAGCTGACATATCAGGCATACGTCACTGCACGATGAAGCTATCGAAGGCCGCAGCGAATATAAACAGAATCCTTACGTCATTATTCATGACATCACAGGATCGCACCCGGCAGATTCATTTAACGTTTCAAACACGAGAAGGCCCGAAGACTCACAATACTGACTTGAACGAGCGTTGCTGCACGCGCGCATGCGGTGGGTATCGATAATGCGACGGCTTAGTTGCGCGTCTGGGAGATCAGACCAACGAGATTTGGTTCTCCGCGGTGCCCGCCTTCCCTGCCGAGGTGAGAGGCAGGCGACGCCATATGCCCTCCGCTGCTGAGTGCGTTGTGAGGTCTCAGTGACAGCGAAGCGCATGGACTGGAATCTGGGTAAATATGTATAATTTGAAAGAGTAAAAATACGAGCGCGCTAGTTTAACATTGTGCAGTGGTCAATCGCTGGCTACGATTGATGCATGCATTTATATGGATAGTGTAAATAATAATCACTGTGTAAAGCCCTCCAGAAGTATGCTGGACATATTGGCGATGATATCGCCTATATGTACATCGCCTTCAACCAGAAGTATGCAGGTTGAAGACGACGGGCCTGCCGACAATCGTGTTTTTCTTCAATATCTAGAAAGTTGCACCATATTGTGCCGTGCCGAATCATTTCCTATACTTTTTTGCGAAGTGTTTCTTTCTGTTTGCCATATGTGGG